CCTCCCCCCCCCCCCCCCCCCCCCCCCCCCCCCGAGCTCCACCTGTAACGGGTTCGGCCACCTGGGGGCCCTATCCACCCATCTCGGAATTCGATTTCCAACCAGAGTTCCAACAAATGCGCTTCAGCCTCTGAGTTCTGGCCAATGAAGAACCTCCTCACACCTTCCTCTCCTTTTCCCAGAGCTCTGCCCACCACCAGGAGCTCTGGCTAATGGAGAGCGCTCCAACACGTCCGGAGCTCCTGCTTTTTCTACACCCAAAGCAACAAATAAAAGCAACGGCGGCCCTAACTTTTGTGCGATAGTTGCTGAGCAAGAGGACGAGGGACGTTTGCAATGGCCGCTGTGCGATCTCGGAGGGGCTTGCCCTCGCTAGTCATGTTTTAGCTCATCCCTAAAATGAGGCAAAGTTAGTGAACAGTCTAATCCAAAACTGATAAGGTTCTATGAGGAATCTGAGACCCAGAGATGTGTGGCCCCTTCCCAACCTCAGCTCCCAATCACTCATACTCAGATCTCAAACACAGGGTCCACACGGGGGAGAAACGTGCGCCAAACAAAATGTCTGAGACTTGAATTTGGCCCGCGGGCCTCCAGTTTGAGACCTACCGTGCATCTCATCACATATACCTCATTATATTTGTCACTGGCCTCCTTCTGTGTGATCTCCCTTCACCCCTCTATAGCTGTTACCACTCCCTTAAACTTCCCTTTCTTTGTTCAAGAACTTGCCATAGCTCTCCACATCTCCTAGAATGCGCTCCTAGTATTTGCAATTCAAGATCAAACTGAAATGCGCACCATTCGCTGAAGGCTCATCTTTCTGGTTCCTTCCCCGTTATTCCTCTATACACTCTTGCTCCTTACACCCCGCTACTCCCACCTTAACGTCTTTGCCCATGCTCTTTCCTCCTCCAGACTGGGGCTTGGCTCATAGCATCCCCATGAAGTCTTGAGGGACCCGCCTTTTGGAGAACTTGGTCCCAGGATGGAGGTGGTGAGGGGCGGTGGGGTGGGTAATCGAAGTCCGGAAGCATCTGAACACGTACTGGGTGTTGGCCACATCAATCACCTCTACTCGACCCAATACGCCCAGGCCTCCAGCACGGGCAGCGTCGTGGCCTCAAAAAGAGACAAAGGTTTCAGAAGGAAATGTGAAGCGGAGTGAGTGGAAGACAGAGCCCCAGGGACCTGGAGGAGGCACTTTTTCAAACCTGAGGGCCGTTAGAGATCAAGAAATGTGCTCTGTTTTACAGAGGGGCAACTGAGGCCAGGGCATGTCCCCAAGCGTTCCCAGAGAGATTACTGAAACAGGAAGGCTAGAAGAGAAAGACAAGACCTGTCAGGTGTCAGGATGTCCTTTACAACACTGTCCCCAAATGAAGATTGCATCACTAACCCCAGCTTCACCCTCCTACCCCACCCCCGAGGCCACACAGACCACAAGCACTCCAGTGGGACTGTCTGAGCCAAATCTGCCCGTCAGCGACCATGCCTGTCCTGCCCATCTTGCCTCATAAGCCTTAAATGCACCCCTTCTCTCCCCACCTTCTGTCCCACTCCGACCTCCTCCCTACTCTCCTGACCTGTCTCCTTCCCTCCCTTCGCAGCATAAACCTGTCCCTTCCTCCCCCTTGCTCACAACCTCGCCATGGCTCCCTAGTGTCCTTGGTAGAAAGCCCGGGCCCCTCTCCACTACCTTCAGGGCCCTGCCAACACCTCCAGCCTCATCTCTCCCAGCGACTCCACTCACTGTAATTTTTTTTGCCATTTGCTGTACTCTCGTTCTCCTGCTTCCCAGGCATCGTACCAGCTGTTCCGTCTGCCTAGAACGCCATGTCTAGCTAGCTGTTCATCATCCTCCCAGTGGCAGTTGGGCTGTTCCTCCTCTGGGAAGCCCTCCCTGGCTGGGACGGGCACCCTCTTGGCCTTCCCCGGCCTCTGCCCTGCCACCCTCCCCAGCCCTGCCCACTCTGGATCATCACCGGTGCACCTAAATCCAGCTTTCTCCACTGGACTGAGCCCCCCGAAGGCAGGGGTGGGGCTGCCTTGGTCACCACTATGTCCCCAGCACAGAGCTGGGCACACAGGAAGCCCTTAGGGATTGAGATTTCCAGCGTTGGTTGGTGCCCGCCACCTGACTCAATAGGAACACCTTTCAGCAGATCCCTATTCTGGCCTCACTCATAAGACAGTAATGCGGTTCTGTCCCAGACCCTGAATTTTTCAACAGTGACCACTCAGTTTCTACCACCCTTTATTTCTCATTTGACTTTGCTATTAGCCCCAAGACGAACACAAGACAAGGGTTGACCCTACCTTGCCCCAACTGGGCACCTGAGGCACAGTAGACTAAGCCTCTTCCCTACATACAACCCTCCATGGCTCCCTAGTGCCCTTGGATGAAAGCCCAGCTCGCTCGCTTTGGCCCTTTGGCCTACGAGGCCCTGTGTGAACAACGCCCCCGCCCTCTACTGCTCAGCTCTATTGAGCTTCTTTTCCCTTCCTCTGGCTAAGGACACCTTGACTTTCCTCTGAGCAACCCACCTAAATCCAGCTCCAGGGGCGCCTGGGTGGCTCAGTTGTTAAGCGCCTGCCTTCGGCTCCGATCATGATCCCAGGGTCCTGGGATGGAGCCCCTCATCAGGCTCCCTGCTCCGCGGGAAGTCTGCTTCTCCTTCTCCCACTCCCCCTGCTTGTGTTCCCTCTCTCGCTGTCTCTCTGTCAAATAAATAAAATCTTAAAAAAAAAAAAAAAAATCCAGCTCCCAGCAGGGGCCTGGCCGCTCCAGAGCAACAGGGACTGGGTCAGGAATGGTCACATGACTTCTCTGGGCCAATAAGGGTCCGTCTTGGGACTTTTGCCAGAAGTTGGCAGTGAGGAACTTTCTGCTGCAGAAACTAGGCAAAGGGAGGAGAGGTTGGAACTGCTGGGGTCATCTCTGCCATCAGGGAGTGCCTGATGAAACTACAGGCTGAAACTGTTAAACTCACACTGAAAAAAGCCAAGATGAGATGGCCGGCTGCCTGGATTCAGCCGTACCTGAAGTCAGGCACCCCCACACTATTAAGGAACATAAGCAAACGAGTAACCTTTTTGCCTAAGTGTAGCTGGGTTATAAGTCCTAATACAACATTTCTCTTGTTAATTCTCCACCACCCCCAACACAGCAGCCACACCGAAATTACCCACAGTTCTCTGAAGGTCTATCATGCACTCCCACCCCCAGGCTTCTGCCAAGGGCATACCCCAAACCCGGTCAACTCCTATTCATCCTTCAAAGCCCATTTCCCCGACTCCCTCCTGCTCTCTTCTGGGCTCCACAAAGCAATGGTTTCTCTAGTGTTTTGTGTCAGAACCCATGTCCGCCACAGACAGGGGCTCCTTGTGTCTCCGTGTCCAGCACTGGGCCTGGCACGGAGTAGGCACAGGTCAATGACTGTTTATTGAATAAATGTACTACTGGAGTAAGAAGTGGCTTAGAGTCCCGTATAACATGTGGGTGGGCACGTGAGTGGATGAATGGGGGACCGATATAGGAACCGGGGGCCTCGTGGATGAGGCCAAGTTCTGTCCTGCCCTCCTCCACCATCATCCTTGACCCTCACACCCCCACTACACCCATTCTGCAGCTGAGAAAACCGAGGCTCAGGAAGGAGGAACCACTGGCCCAAAGTCACACACCACCTCCTCCTCGTCTCGCTCCCAGGTGAGGGCAGGGAAGGAAAAGCCCGGGGTCAGCGTGGGGGAGGGGGACTCTCCTAAGTTTATTGGGCGACAGGCTGCAGGTGAGGGGGCTGACAGGAGGGGGCGGGTGTAATAACTTAAAAACCGGAGGTGACAGTTGCAGCTCCTTGAGAGATCTCTGCAGAGGGGAGGGTGTGGGGGTATTTACAAGGATTTGTACAAAGTGCCCCGCGCCGGCCTGGGGCAGGAAGGGGGTGGGGTTCGAGCATGAGGGGAGGGGAAGGAATCTGCCTCTCTGACTCCCACTCCCAGCCCCCCCTGCCACTCTCCAGTCTTTAGGCTCAGCAACCCTTCCTGCCCCTGCCCAAGGCCTAATTCTTGAGCTCTTGGGGGTGGGGGTGGGGGTGGGGCGGGGACGGAAGAGTTTCCTCAGTTTCCCTTTCTGCCCTTGCCGTGCCCCCTGAGTCTCCTTGGGTGCCTTGGACCGGCTGGAGGCTCCAGGAAGGGGCCAGCTCCCCCTGCTCGGCCCCCCCCACTCTTCTCTCATGCCCAATGGCCCCGGAGAACAGCGCGGGGGACAGTCTCTGTCCCCACGTCGGACTCGCGGGAACCGAGGTGATGACAGAGGGAGACGCCCCTCCCTGACCCCTCTCCCTGCTGCGGAGGTGAAGGGGACGAGGGAGAGGAAGAGGAGGGGACCCGGGCCGTGGCGGCTCAGAGCTCGAGGTCGTTGGAGATGCGGGTGACGAGGGTGCGGAAGGCCAGGGCGGTGCCCGCCACGCGGCGGAAGAGAACTCCCCGCAGGCCCGGCCGAGGCAGCTGGCAGACCTCCACTTCGAAGTGGGACAGGGGCTCGGGCCCGCCCGCACCCCCGTGCAGGCAGGCCAGCAGGAACGGCTGTGGCTGGCGGCAGCGGCAACGGGCGGCCGCGGTGGCCTGGCGGAGAGCTGCCATCAGGGCCTCGGGCGGGCGCGAGCTGGTCAGCTTCACACTCCAGGGGAATCGGAGTAGCCGGGGGGCGGTTTCCGTTTGATCCCAAGGTAGATGGCAACTGGGGCGGGAAGATGTTAGCGGTCAAAGACGGGAGAGGAGGGGAAGGCGACCCACTGTTCCCACCTGGGGACAGACTCCTAGGCGTCCCTCACAACCCGCCACCCTCTCTCACCCCAGGGACAGCGACAGAGGTCCAGCTGTACAGATCGCTGGCCAGCTGGAGGCTCCATTTCCCAGCCTCCGCGGCAGCCAGGCGCCGCCTTGTCTCTCAATTCCTGGATGTGAGTGGAAGTGATGCCTGCAACCTCCTTCCATCACCTCCTCCCAAGGGGTATCTGGAAATTTCTGGGGGCTTTTTGATTAGCGCAATGTCTTGGGATGCGGGTGCCGCTGACATTTATTAGGTTCAGGGCGGATACACGTTCTGCAACATGCGAGAGGCCCCGCACAACAAAGAAGTGTCCCGCCTAAAGTACCAAGGGCGCTCCTCTTGAGAACCATCGCACACTTAAGTCTTCCCGGTTTCCTCGCGGCCGACCCCGCCTCTCAGCGCCAAGCTGAGCACGTGGCTCGGTTCTGGCCAATGAGAGCAAGCCACCTCCCTGCCTGCCGCGATTGGTTCAAAGGGGAAACGCATGACCAGGTCCCACCAATCAGAGTACTCCACCCTTCTGGCCACAGGCAGTGGCTTAGGGAGGGGCATGTGGCTCAGTTCCAGCCAATGAGAGTCGGTCCTGGGATCTTTGGGACTGGTGGGGAGGTTCTTAATTTGCACCGAGTGGGGTATGGGGGGTGTCTTTACATCGGGGGATTGTGTCAAACTGAAGCAGGGCCGGCGAGGTACAGGGCTGCCTGCTTTTGTAACTAAGTGTTTCTGGAACCCCGCCACGCCCATTAGTTTTTGCACTGACTGCGGGACAACGGCAGAGCCGAACAGGCATGACGGAGATTACCTGGGCCTCAAAGCCTACACTATGGACCATCCGCTGCAACAGCTGTGCCTCGGTGGATGAGAGGGGGAGGGAGGTGTGGTGGCAACAGCAGGAGTTGGTCACACATGGAAGAGGCTGGAGGTAAGGACGGTCGAGGGACAGTGTGCACGGATCGGGGTGGAAATGAGAGGAAGTCGTGGGGGGCGGGGCATAAGAGGCCCGGGCAGAGGAAGGAGGGCCCGAGGGAGAGTTCAGGAAGCTGGCCTGGAGGCGGCGGCTCAGGTCCCATCTAAAGGTATGGGGATGGCGGATCGCGGAGGTGCAGACAGAAGTGGGGTCTGAGGCACACTAAGCGGGAGGGGCTGGTGTGGCGGCCAGAGGGGGTAGGCCCAGGCACTCACCTTGTGACCTCAGGTCCCCCGATTCTCTCAGGTTCGTCTGTGACCCTAGGGGAAGGGAGGGGGACAGAGTGTCTAATCTGCACGTATGGCGCCCCCTCCCCCAACCCACTGCCTCCAGAACTCTGGGCAGCCCCTGCCTCAGCCCTGGTCCCCGTCCCTCCCCGCCGGCTGGAGCTGGGCTGGGGAGGGCTGGGAGTCAGGATCTGAACTCCCTCTCCATGCCCAGAAGGGGAGCCCCTTCTGAAATGGTTAGTGCAGGTCAGAGGAAAGATACTGAAGAATTCGGAAGACGAAAGAGAAAGGGATTGGGCAGAGATACACACCTACATATAGAAGGACACGGACACACACACGCACCCCTCCTTCACGCTTTGCTCAAACGGCACCTCCTTAGTGAGGCCTGCTCCATTTAAAACTGTACCTCTCTTCCCTGCTCTACTTTTCTTCTCAGTACTTATTTACTGTCTGGATCTCCGAGGAGAATGTCGGCTCTGCCTGGGCTGGGATTTTATACATTCTGTTCACTCTACTCCAGGGTCTAAGATAGGGCCAGGCGCTCAGTGAATAAACATAAATCATTTTCCAAGGCAGCATTCTAAGCTCAGTCCATATATCACCTCATTTAGTCCACACGACAACCCTAGGAGGAAGGCACTGTTATTTCTATCCCCACCTTACAGAAGAGGAAAGCAAGGCCCAGAGAGGTTGAGTGACTTACTCAAGGTCACTCAGCAGAGCTGGGGTCTGAGCCTTAAGAGTCTGGCTCCAGAGGCCAGACTGCTGTTTATTAAATGAGTAAAATGAACAGCCAGACCCCACAACCAGTCCTCCTCCCGCACGCACACAGTCCGCCTCCCCCACCCCTGTACACACAGGTCTGACATGCAGACAGGGAAGCAGAGCCAGGGACAGCGGAGGGTGGACGGGACTTACTGATCTTGGATCCCTGGGGCAGAGAGGCGCCCGAAACGCAGCGGTTAGAGTTCTGCCGTTTAGAGGGATCGAGGGTAACCCTGTAGTGTGAGGAGGGAGGTGAAGGGTGACGGAGGACGAGGAGAAGAGAGAGGAGGAGGAGGAGGAGGAGATGATGTGGGGGTACAGGAGGCAGAGCAGAGCAGAAGACAGGTTAGGCCCCATTGCCCCCCACCCCACTCCCACCCCCCACATCCCATGGGGCTCACCTTCGGGTCAGTTTGGAGGTCAGCTTGGTGAAGAGGTTGGTGGTGGGGCGGGGCCGCCCAGTGGGCAGGGGTGTGGCCTCGTGGGCCAGCGTGGGAGAGGCGGGGGGTCCATTCTGCACACCCCCGCCTCCCCCGCCCCCTGCCCTCCGGTCCCGGACCTGGCCACCGTGGAAGGTGCTGCGGATGGTGGAACCGCGTGCCAGACGGCTCCGCTCCCCCGATGGGGGAGCCAGGCTGTGACTAGAGGGAGAGGCGGGGGGCACCCGTGGGGTACCCGAGCTGTGGGCAGAAAGGAACAAGTCTGAGTGGGGCCTGATTCTTCACTGTCCTGTCTTGAGATCAGAAACATTACAAAACTTAGAGCTCAGAGACAGGGCTGCCATGTACAGTTGGGCAGGCTGTGTACTATACAACCCTAGCTATTTTACGGACTCTTCATTCTTCCTAAGTCATCCCTCCTTCAAACTGTCCTTCCTTCAAACCCTACCCACTCCAAACGTATCCTAAATCTCCTCTCTCCAAACTCAGCAGTGGAATAGGTTCAGATATATTTTTTGATGAGTCCCTTGCCATTTGCCATCCAAACCTCAGGAACCAAGTCAATTTTGCAAATACTCTGCTATCTGAACTTTCATTTTTCAAACTCGGGATACGAATAGATGTGAACATCAAAGGTACTTAAACTCATTATGGTAATTTTTTGACAGGTCAGAAAGGACCCTCTTCCCAACTGTCTCAAGATGTGGTGTGGACAGTGGTGGCTCCAGCGTCCCAGGACCCTCCTCCAGACCCTCCCAGTCCTGACAGGAGGGGCCAGACCTACAATTTCTATCCTTCCAAGGACCCCAGGACCAGCCTGGATCTCAAAGAGGGAATCCTGACTGTGGCAAATGCCACTACCTCTCCCTTGGAATCTGTCCTCCTTGTTTTACTTTTAGTAACCAAACTTCCTAAGGGTGCAAGCGTTGCACATGGCCACCCAGCCAGAGACTACATTTCCCAGCTCCCTTGCAGTTAGGGATGGTCATGTGACTAGTCTCTGGCCAATGGGATACAAACTGAAGTGCTTTGTCCCATTTCTGGGTCAGGCCTCTAAAAAGCATGCAGCTTGCGCTCCACTCTTCCCATCCTTCTTGCTGGTTGAGAAATGGTGGCAGCTGGCACAGTGGCCTCAGTCCCAGAGCTGGAGCCTTGGTTTGAGATGGGCAGGAACAATCTGGGTCCTTGGAGGACCTTGCCTGCCTACCTCTGGATGGCTCTATCAGAGAGGCCTAAACCTCCTTCTCATTTAAGCCACCGTCCCTTGGGGTCTCTTCGTTACACCGGCTGAGTCTACAATCCAACTGCTACACTGTCTCTCGACCAAAGCTGGAAGGCTATGCACTATAGTGTTTACAAACACACACGCCGCAGTCAGTCTGGAATCTTTGCTCCTTGACTTGCCAGCTGTGTGGCTTTGGACGAGTTACTTAACCTCTCTGAGCCTCATTTCCTCAGCTGTAAAATGGAGATACCGGGATCTACCTCACAGAGTTGTTAGGGCCATTCAACCAGCGAATACACACAAAGTCCTGGCATACAGTTCCTGCTTGATGAATACTCACTATTATTTTTATTTAATTTTTTTTTCATTTATTTATTTGAGAGAGAGAATGAGATAGAGAGAGAGCATGAGAGGGGGGAGGGTCAGAGAGAGAAGCAGACTCCCCGCTGAGCAGGGAGCCCGACGTGGGACTCGATCCCGGGACTCCAGGATCATGACCTGAGCCGAAGGCAGTCGCCCAACCAACTGAGCCACCCAGGCACCCTATTATTTTTATTTAATGACCACGAAATAAGCACTCACTCATCGAATGCCCTCTATGTCACAGACCCTGTGCCCGGCACAGGACGCACCTGATCTCCACCGGATCCCTCTAACAGGGCCTAGAGGCAGAGAACATCAGCCCCATCTTACAGAGGAGGAAACCGAGGCTCAGAGACTCGCCCGAGGTCATCCTGCTAGCAGAGTGCAGAGGCAAGATTTGAACACAGAATGTAGTAGCCACAGAATCACTACTCTCAACCACTCCATATCCTGTCCCCACCGAACAGTAACACGCGTTTGTCAAGTGTTGTCCAGAGTGCACCTGGGTGTCGTGCCCTGGAGTCCTGGTGGGCGGGAGTATCATTATCCCGAGGCCCGCCCCACTCCTCACTCCCGGACTTGAATCATGATGTGAACTAATTCAACCTCCGCCCCCCCATGCCAGTTTTTTTAAGTAGGCTCCACGCCCAATGCGGGGCTTGAACTCCCGACCCTGAGATCAAGGGTCTCGTGCTCTACCGACTGAGCCAGCCAGACGCCCCTGATTCATTCCCTTTTTATGCTCCAGCCAGTCCGCATTGGTTTCCCTCACTTGCCAGCTTAAAGAGACCGAACAGACTCAGGAAAACTAGTCTGAAAACCAGCCAACAAGAGGATGTTGAAGCTGTGACATTCTGGGGCTTCTCTCAAGTTCTAAAAATTGATCATTCAAAAAAAAAAAATCAATTCAGTTTCCCAAGGCTCGTAGGCGGAGAACAGGGCAGACTGCTTTCCTGGGGCCGATGACTAACTAATTAAGAGGGGAAGATTTTCGGGGGGTCGGGTGGCTGGGCGAGAGGACATGGGTAGATTCTGCCAAGGGAAAGGCAGACACACACACACTCCCCAGTCCCCACAGCACCCCTTCCCCACAATGGTTATCATCTTCGATCAAGGAGGACCCCGCTCCCCTACACCCTGCTCCCCGCTCCCCTGCTCCCCTACACCCCGCTCGCCGCTGCTGCTCCCTCTCCATACCTGTTCTCTTTGCCATTTGGCAACAGGGAGGGGCGCTCAGCCCCAGGGCGTTCTGTGCAAACGTAGGTGTTTCTGCGGGTCATCATGCTGGGAGGGAGGTTGTTCTGTGGGAGATATGGCCAGGAGGGAGTGAGGGGGGTGGAAGGACACCCCTCTACTTCCCACTTATCCTCCCTGGTCTCCCTCATTATGATCGATGCCGGGGCCAAGACTGAGCAGGTGATGGTTTACTCCGGGAGAAAGGAAAGGTTAACGAGCCAGCCCGGCAACTCAGGCTAAGGGTCACGGAGCTGAGACAGGGGTGCTGAGGGAGAGTGGGTCAGGGGCGGTGCCCAGGGGGCAGCCTTGCCCACTCCTCTCCCAGCTCTGCCCCACCTGGGTAACAGGCCAGCCGTGTGAAGCTTTCCGTAGCATACTTATCCATGGCACACTTGCAGTCTCCCGGCCTTTGCACGGCCGGCCCACCTGCTTGGATATTCCTCCCACCTTTCCCCTCGACTCACACCTATGTATCTTTCAGGTGTCAGTTCATAACACAGCTGGCTGAGTCAGGTGCCTTCCTGGGGCCCCCACTGCCACCTCGATCACTTTGTATCGTCAATATCTGTCCCCTTATCCATCCCCACCTGCCCTGGACTACCACCCCCCTCGGATCAGGGAGTACACGTCGGGATTATGCTGCCTCCCCAAATGTGCTGGGAAGTGATCCCTCATTTTCTGTCCTCTGGAAGTTTCTCTAAGGTTGGTATTATTCCTTCTTTCAGTGGTTGGCAGAATTCCACCACTTAGAGCCTGGAATTTTCTTTCTGGGGCAATTTTAAGTTACGGATTCAAGGTCTTGGATAAGAACATAAGACTGTTCAGATTTTCTGTTTCTTCTCAAGCAAGTTTAGTGACTTGTGTTTCGAAAGACATCTGTCCATTTCATCTAAGATGTCACATTTATTGGCATAAGGTGGCTCCTAATACCGTCTTACTGTCTTTTTATGTTGGGGCAGAGTTTTCCTTTTGATCTCTGATATCAGTAATTCGTGGGGTTCAATGATAGTATTAATCTTTTCAAGAACCGGATTGTGGCTTTGTTGGTTTTCGCTAGTGTACTTCTGCTTATTCCTTTATTGACTTTTATTTCCTTCCTTCTACTTTTGGCGGGGGGCTAATTTGCTTTTTTTTTTTTTTTTTTTACCTTTTTAAGGTAAAAACAACAACCAGAGCCTTCATGTATTGAGTGCTTACTGAGCTGGATGCCGTGGGCGGTTAGTTTATGTCCAAGATCTTACGAGAGCCTCACAACAATCCAAGTCCTCTGATGAGCCCATTTCACAGGGTGGAATACTGAGGCTCAGAGAGGTGAAATCACTTGCTCAAGGCCACACAGCTCACCAATGCAATTCAAGCTCTGGTCTTAACACCTCCTCTTTTGAGGAGCTGCAGAAGCAGGAAAGCCAAGTACTACATTTCCCAGACTCCTCTGCAGCTCAGGATCCGCGTATGAATGGGTTCTGCCAATCTTTGCACTCGGGAAGATCTGGAAGGTGGCACTGGGGTGGCAGTGGCCTTTCTGTCCCCTGTGACTCCTGCTTACACGGGCAAGGTCATGAGATGAGGGTCTTTGCCTCAGCAGAGCCTCAGTGCCCGTTATTAGAGTTCCTGGCATCGAGGGGCCCTTCTGGGAGAGAACAGTGTTTCTGAGTCTTGAATTACAGTCAAGACCATGTGTTCTGGAATTCAACAGTGCTAGGGTCCGCCCCAGAGGTGGCAGCCCCCTCAGCGGGTCAGTTCTGCGGTGGTGATGTGTCACTCCTACAGGTCTAATCCACTGCCTGCCCCACCAGCCCTTCCTACAACTTTGTAAGTGCCTCATTCCCTGTATGAAATCCCTCCTACCCAAAGCAAGGGGAGTGCTTCTTTCTGACACTGAAGGCTAATTTATATGCGAGCCTCCAGCACAAGCTCGGGTACGGAGAGAGCACTCAAATGTCTACGGGATGAACGAATGAACAGACAGAACAAGGAGTCCTGTGTGGTGGTCTGGGGAACAGGATAGGGAACAGCAGGGTCTGAAAAGTGTGAACCAGGCGGTCACATCCCCCAGCCCTGGCCACTCACAGGGGTGCTCGTGCTGTCCTTCCGCCGCTCTGGGATCTCTGCCTTGTTGGGGTTGTGGGCGCTGCTGACCATGGGGCTGGAGGGGGGCAGTCCCCGGCTCCCGCTTCCGACAGCACTGCAGCCCGCCTTCCGGCCTGGCAGGCGCTCCTCCTTCAGCTCCGCCTCCCCGGTGCTGGTTGGGCTGCGCTTGGGGTGCAGGGGTGCGGGGGATGGGCCACCTGGTGGAGGGAGGGGACAGTCAGGGCTCGCAACACCTGGAAAGGCCAGAACCTCCTCGGGGTGATCCTTAGAACCTCAGAATTCCTCACATAGGCTACAAGCTCTGCGTGGGCCAAGCTGACACGATCTGTCCCAATGACAGATGCACACACGGACCCCCCCCCCAACTCCATGGAAATGACATGATGCACGTGTAGGTTATTCACTGCATCGCTGTTTTGTTTCTAAGATTTTATTTATGAGAGAGAGAAAGCATGTGTTGGGGGGGAGGGCCAGAGAGAGGGACAAGCAGACTCCTTGCTGAGCAGGGAGTCCGACATGGGGCTCGATCCCAGGACCCTGAGACCATGACCTGAGCCGAAGGCAGACACTTAACCAACTGAGCCACCCAGGTGCCCCGCATCACTATTTTTTAAAAATATTTTATTTATTTGAGAGAGAGACAGAATGAGTAGGGGGAGGGACAGAGGGAGAGGGACAGACTCCGCACTGAGCAGGGAGCCCAACGTGGGGCTCAATCCCCGGACCCTGAGACCATGACCTGAGCCAAAAGCAGACACTTAACCAACTGAGCCACCCAGGCGCCCCCACATCACTATTTTTTAAAAATATTTTATTTATTTGAGAGAGAGACAGAATGAGCAGGGGGAGGGACAGAGGGAGAGAGACAGACTCCACACTGAGCAGGGAGCCCGAAGTGGGGCTCGATCCCAGGACCCTGAGATCATGAGCTGAGCCGAAGGTAGACACTTAACTGATTGAGCCACCAGGCACCCCTCATCGCTATTTTTTTTTAAGGCCAAAAGACTGGGAGCAGCCCAAGTGCCCCTTAGGAGGGGAATGGCTAAATGAAGTCAAGCTATTTCTGTACAAGGAGGAAGCTGCTTATGTACCAAGACACAGTGATCTTCAAGACAGACTGTAGAGCAGAAAAGGCAGGGCCTGATGTCTAAGGTGTGCTGTCATTTGTGAAAGGGGAAACGTATAGATTTCTATTTATCTCTATTTACTTGCTTATACATGAACATCTTAAAAGGCTATCATGTCTTAAAAGGTGAGAACGTTACCTTTATGGTATGTGAATATGTTAGTATTGTATTTATACATCTTTATCTCTCTCTCTCTTTTTTTTTTTAACTTTTTTTAGTGGCAGAGGGGCAGAGGGAGAGAGAATCTCAAGCAGACTCCCCACTGAGCATGGAGACCGACGCAGGGCTCGATCTCACGACCTGAGCTGACCTGAACCAAAATCAAGAATCTGACGCTCAAGCGACTGAGCCACCCAGGTGCCCCTATGTTTCTTTTCTTTTTCTCTATCTCCTTTTTGTTTCTATCTTTATATACAGTTAACCCTTGACAACACGGCTTTGAACTCCGCGGGTCCACTTCTATGTGGATGTTTTCCAATGAATACCGTACAGTACTGCAGAGGTCTTTTCCCTAAGATTCTCTGAAGGACATTTTCTGTTCTCTAGCTTGCTTTATGGTAAGAATACAGTATATAACACATACAACATAGAATGTGTTGACGGACTACGTTATCAGTGAGGCTTTCAGTCAACGGCAGGCATTAGCAGTTACGTTTGGGGGGAGTCAAAAGTTATATGTGGATTTTCGACTGCACAGGGGGTTGGTGCCCTAACCCCCGCCTTGTTCAGGGATTAACTCCATGTATTTATGAATAAAATCTCTCCCAAACTGGTCACAGTGGCTGCCTCCAAGGACAACTGGGGGCTGGAGATGGGTGTCCAGTGAAAACTTTTTTACTGTCTACCCTCCTTGTACTATCAAATTTTGAAGGATGTGACTGTATTCATCTCAAAAACAAAACAAACAAATCTGGTCCCTTGGAACATCTTAGGAAATTATCGTCTTAGAACCAGCAGGTTTAAGTATGTTCACGAACTTCGGACAGTCGAAACTTCTATGTGTTACATCCTCAGGAACCTTCATGCTCCAAAGTCCCAGAACCGTAACAAGCTCTGCAATGACGGACACGGGGCACCCGTCGACAATCCTCCGAGAACCCCAGAAGCCCAGAAAGTTTCCATGTGAGTGTTCTTTAAGGTGATATGTTGTAACCAGGGTCACAAGCTTCTTAGCGACTTTCTGTGCCAATCTGGCTATTTTATAGGTGGAAAAAGGAAATCCAGGGAAGGGAAATGACTTGACCATCCAGAATCCCACAACTTCCTGCTTAAGAGCGACGCTTGGGTTTCCCTGACAACCCCCTCCCCATGCCAGTGCCTGTCCCAGAGTAAAGCATTTCGAAGGAGGGCTGCAAAAAAGTGGGGAGTTGGACACCACGCTGGCCGTTCCTCACATGGCTAAACATGGCATTACCACGTGAGCCGGCAAGTCCACTCCTACCACATGCCCAAGAGAAATGGCCACATACATCCATACGGAACCCGGCACGTGAAAGTTCACAGCATCGTTATGCACAAGCGCCAAACGGCGAAAACAATGCAATGTCCATCAGCTGACAAATGGAAAAATAAAATGTGGTAGATCCACGACATGGAATATTACTGGGCCATTAAAAGGGACGAAGTGCTCGTCCATGCTAACACGTGGATGAAAACATTACCCTAAGTGAAAGAAACCAGACACAAAAGGCCATGCATTGTATAATTCCTCTTACACGAAATGTCCAGGATAGGGGAATCTGTAGAGGTAGGGAATGGACTGGTGGTTGTCAGGGGCTACAGGGTGGTGGATGGGGGTTTGGAGGTTGATGGCTAGCTAGGGCTTGTGGAGTTTCTTCCTGGGGCGATGAAAATGTGCTAGAGTGGATTGTGGTGATGGCTGCTGTTAGTATCTGTGGATACTAACACCACTGAATTGTCCGCTTTGAATGGGTGGATTGTGTGGTATGTGAATTATTTCTCAATAGAGCTGTTTAAAGAATAGTTGGTAGGGGGCGTCTGGGTGGCTCAGCCAGTTAAGTGTCTGCTTTCAGCTCAGGGCATGATCCTGGGGTCCTGGGATCGAGCCCCACATCGGGCTCCCTGCTCAGCAGGGAGCCTGCTTCTCTCTCTGACCCTTCCCCCCTGCTAATGCACATGTGCACTCTCTCTCACAAAAATAAATAAAATCTTTTAAAAAATAAAAAAAAAGAATAGTTGGGAGGATTCACATTTGAACAGGGTGTGGGTAAGAGACCTCTTGGAAGTTTCCACGCCTAATCTGTGGTGGTGGTGGTAAACTCTATCTTCTGTGGGTGATATCTTTCGGTTACAGAATGTGGGGTACAGGTGGGTGTCTGCCCAGCCCCTTTCCACTAGGAAGGGCCTTTCAAATTTTCAGTGTGGAGGAGAGCCAGAGGGCAGGCTCTCAGCAGCCACTTTGTGCAATGTGTCCTCCTATGTCCTGATCCCAAGTGGACCCTGACTGTGAGAGCTCTATCCCTGACAGGTGGAACAAAGGGATTCCAGCTATCACTTGGGCTGGTCTCTAAATTGGAGTTGGGAGACGGAAGGGGAGAGACTGGGAAAAAGATAAGGGGAGATACATAAGAGAGAAAGGAAAAGCCAAGAACAGAGAGGGTGCAAGAAACAAAACAGTATCTGCTCTGGCTGCTTTTTCAGTTTCCAATCCCTTCCTGACCCTGGCTGTGTGTTCCCGCCTCCAAGTTCTCTATAATGTCCCTGCATCTTTATATGAAATTCCTCCCTTCTCTGCAGCTGGCTCGAGCAAGGGTTTCTGTTGCCTGGGGTCCAGACAACCCTGATGTAACAGAGGTCTGAGGCCTCTTGGGGCCCGGGATGGCGTGTGGGGGAGCGGGGCCATACTCACAGAAGTCGCTATGCCTGCGCTGCCGGTGGTAGGTGGAGGAGGCACTCCGTTGTCCTTTGCTGTGGCTGGTGCCTTTGCTGGAGCTCGTTCCATTGGTGGTGTCGCTGGGCGCCCGCACCCGTGCCAGGGCCAGCCCCGGGGTGCCCCGGTCCCCACCCTCCTGCAGGAGGATGACAGACGAGGAGCCTCAGCCTCTGTCCCCTCTACCCCAGAAGTCCCTCCACCCCGGGCATCGCGCATCCCAAATGCCCCTGGCGCCTTCTGACCTCAGTCTTCCTGCCCAGCAGGAGGTAGGTGGCGGTCACTTCGTTGTACTTCTGGCTGGTCAAGGCCTCTTTGATTTCTTCCCGCGTGTAGCCCATACCCACCATCACCTCTGGGAGAGGGGGATGGAGAGGAGGTTCAATCTCCCCAGACCCTTCCCTTCCACTCGTTTCTGCATCCCATAGCAACGCCTGCTCTTTGGCCTGTTCAGGATCCGTACCCCCTTCTGCCAGCAGCACCCTGATTTCCTTGGAAGAACATTTCTTTCCTGCTCACATCACCGGGCAGACTCCTGCCTGTGCCAAGCCCCAAAGGCAGGTACATAACCCAGATCTGACCAAACAGAGTCTTCCCCTCCCCCCCCCCCCCCCCCCCCCCCCGCAAGGCCACACTGATTGGCTCAGGGCAGGCAGATGACCCAGGTCTGGCCATTCAGAACACTCCAGACCCAAAATCACGTTGATTGGTTCAGGGTGGGCACACGACCCGGCTCTGGCCAATCAGAGCATTCCATCCCCAAAGCCAGACTGATTGGTTCAGGGGTAGCCAATGGGCACCAGCCTAGAGCTTCTATTGGCACATTCAGGAAAGTGGCTCCTGTTCTTGAGGGGGTGTCCAGGTGCTAGGATATGTTGTTGCCAGCTTGTTCCTGTGGCCAGAGCTTCCTGGGAAAGAAGCCACCGCTAAGATTCCCAACGACTGTCTCTGAGCACCTGAATCCAGCCATGCCTGAAGGCCGGCATACCCTGGCCTTTTTAGTTATGTGAATGAATCAGTTACCACGATTAGGTTATAACCACATAGAATTGCTGATGTTAACAATTTTTGACCTATAAAAATGGCAGTTTCAAATGGTTCAGCCTATTATTATTCTTACTGGCTTAAGCTAGAAGGGCTTGGGTTTTGTCTTCTGTACAACCACAAAAATCCTGATTAATGCAGCCAACTCTGATGGTGGCCTTGAGGGTTCCTGAATAGTTCCTAAGGGACTCTTTCAGGGCTAATGCCTTAGGGATCAAGAGTTCAAGGGCTCCAGGCTGGAGGATCTGGGATCAAAGGGTTGGTGGGTGAGGCACATGCCCACATGGGGGTTTTCCCCAAACATGCAGGTTACCGATGACTTGTGCCCAAATACTTCTAGACGTGATCTGTAATTTCTTTTTGTGTCTTAACAGTCACAACTAAGTACTTGACGTAGATTAACTCATTTAATATATTCACAGCAACCCTATGATAGTTTCTACGATTGTCCTGTTTTACAGATGAGGAAAGAGAAGCACCGAGAGGAGAAGCCACTTGCCCAGGGTCACACAGCTAGAAAGCAGCAGCACAGAAATGGGAGCCTAGACTTCTCCACTCTCCCTAATTGCCTTGCAAACTTCTCTCATGCGCTGACCCGAGGGGCAGGTGCTGGGAAGCTCCCACCCCTGGCTCTGTGGCCCACAGCTCTGAGGAGCTGGGGCACCTGCTCTCCCTGACCCTCACCGATTCGCTTGGTGTCCCCGAAGTCCTCCTCGGGCTCTGTGTATGGCTTCAACTCCTCACCCTCATAGCCGATGTTGATCCATTTGTCTTTCATGATTTGCTGCAGGAATCGGGGGCAGGACAGGGAAGGGGGAAGACAGATGTCAGAAGAAACTGGGGGAAAATACAGCTCCCCATCGCCCAGGCAGGCCCCCAGGTAGGGCCACCTGCCCTGCCCCCACCTCCAAGACCTAACACCCCGGAATCGAGGGCTTCCTGACAGCTAGCACCTCCTCACCCACACCCCCAGCACCCCTCCCGATGTCACCTCCCTCCTCCGCATCATCTGGGTCCCCAGCACCCTATAATAAGCCTAGGAGCTCATTAGCTAATTACTGGCATGGCGAGGAGTGGGCGAAGCTGTTTGGGGGGTGGCGTTGAGACAGGCCCGGGAGTCTTTTCCCGGGCTGCCTGGCTCCCCTCCCCCTCCCAGCCGCGATCATAAGCAGATGGACACCGGAGAGGAGAAATGAGGGCACGAAGGTTGAAATGGGAGGGGTGCGGGGCTAGGGCTTACCTCGAGAGTACAGCGTTTAGCTGGGTTCAGCACCAAAAATCTCCGCAGGATGCTCTCACAGTCTGTTGACATGTAGAAAGGGACCCGGTACTTCCCTCTGAGGACTCGCTCCCGCAGCTCCTGGGGGGACGGGGTTACTGGGGGAGGAGTCCACCCCACCTCCCCACCCATCACTCACTCAACGCGCATGCATGCACGCGCGCACGCATACCTTTCTCCCAATCCCCTCACAGAAGCAACAGGTGGCAAAACCCCACCCCTTTTAATTTTTTTTTTTTAAAGATTTTATTTATTTGAGAGAGAGAGCACAAGCAGAGGGAACAGCAGGGAGAGGGAGAGGGAGAAGCAGGCTCCCCGCCGAGCAGGGAGCCCGATGCGGGACTCGATCGCAGAACCCTGGGATCACGACCCGAGCTGAAGGCAGCCGCTTAACCGACTGAGCCACCCAGGCGTCCCCACCCCTCTCTCCTCAGCACAATTCCCCATCTCTAAAATGGGAGCCCTGTATACGACTTCGTTCCGAGGAAATCTCACAGAGAAAGCGAATTCTACAAGCCGGGTCAGACGCGAGTCAGCATCCGGGGCCTCAGTCTCCTCTGCACCCAGGGCTCCCAGCGCCCACTTGCCAAGCCAGGGTGTGAGTGAGTTTAAGTAAAATGTCCAGCACATGTCTGGCCCACAGCAAGTGCTACTTCAATATGAGGTTTAGGAAGGGTGAAGAGTGGGGGGG